TTTCCACCAGGGAGCTCTCCACCGGGCAGTTCGCCACCAAGCAGTTCGTCACCAAGTAGCTCATCACCAAGGCACGTCACCACCGGGTCAAACAACGAGGTACTTAGCCAAAAAATTTATACATCACAAAAAATGGTACGTGACCAAAAACGGTTACATCAGACATTATGCACATTACTATCATAATAATTTTAAGAGATATTTTCTAAAATTCATCATGACTTTTCAAAACCTCTAGAGAGCCCCATATTAATGAGTTTTATTGTCACAAACTCACATTTCATTAAGATTTCCGTTAAATAATTGTTAGTGACCATTAATAGAAAATGTCCATTTAAGCATTTTGCATAGCCAAACTGCCTTGAAAATGGCCAATCAAATTTATTAAATATTTTTTATAACAAAGTTACCCCTAACTTGGGTTTGGGCCCATGGTAGGCCTGGAAATTTTAGAGTCAGGCCTAGTCTTTCACGCCAACACCCAACCCGTTTATATTCAAAGTACATATGCATAATTATTATATATGAATAATCAAGGGTTATTTTATCATAAAAATATTTAATAAGATTGACTAGTCATTTTAGAGATAGTGTAGTCATATAAAATACTTAAATGCTTACTAACAGTGATACGTAAATCTAAAGCTGCATTTGGTTGCAGTGCAATCTTATTTGCACTAGTACAAATGCATAGGAGTGCAATTGAAAAGACCATAAATTCTGGTTAAATTTCAATTTGTATTTTATTTCACTTCTTATTTTACTCCATTTGTATTACAACCAAGCAACATAAAGTAAAATTTGGAACAAAAATAAATCAAAATTTGCACTACCATAATTTTGCATCACTTCAAATTTATTTGCACCCTGACGGACGGAAATTGAGCTTTCGACAATAAAACTCATTGATAGGAGGCTATCTGGAGGTTTTACAAAGTTATGGTGAGTTTTATATAATATCCCTAATTCTAATTGACTTAAACCCTAGAATGGTCTAAACAGTATTAAAAGCCATATCAAACTGTAATAAAATGATTTGATTTGATTAAAAAAAAATTCTTGAACCGTAATTTACCGGTTTGATCCGAATTACTTTAAACCGCCTCGAACCAAACCGTAAACACCCTTAATCACTCATGAATCATGATTATCTTTTTAACACCACTCCGTGTATCGCACGGGGCCCTTCTAGTAAAAGGAGGTTTGAAGCTTTACAGCTGAGCGAGATGGCGGGGAATCTGGGACCCTCTGAATCCTGCTGCTCACCAACCATGGTATTCCGATCGGGTGGTGTGTGTCGAATCTCTCCTAAAATACTATTCCAGCGTCTTAATTAAGCTCTTCCTCTCCTGCCGTATTATCATTTATTATTTATATATGCTCATATTTATTTCCATTTTTTCCCTGAAATTTCCATCTCTTTATTCATTTGCTCTCTTCCTTTTAGAGTTGCGCTTCGAACACAAAATATTCCAGATTTATTCGAACTCAGTGCTGAATTGGACTGCCTAGCGTTGTAATTTCATTTGTCGGTATGTCTTTGATTTGATTCATTCGTCTTATTTATTCTTTTCCTCGTCCGTGTAATTTCATGGAAACTGAACTCGAATGGTTTCAAATTTGATGGTTCGCTTCGGATCTGAGGAACCATATTTTCCCAGGCCCAGCTTTCACTGCATTTGGTGCTTTTTTTTTTCCTATATTCTAAGCGTGGATATTGTTTCCATAAGTAGAAATGCATATGGAATTATGAACTTCACTTTGATATAGTTAACATTCTATCTGATGTTAGATTGGTTAGGAATCTGCTTCGACTTTTATTTGAAAAATTCGATAGTCCAACAAGTTATTAAGCTGGATAAGATTTGTTTGTTTTTATTTGACAAATCCACAAGAATTGTTGATATTATTATTCTTTTTGGCTTGACGTTCTTTCGTTTGGATTATATATTAAGATCCTTGCTTTTGGAGATTGTTTCTAGAAGCAATCACTTAATATTTCAATAGGCGAAGAATAAGGAAAGGATCTTCAACATAACTGTTTATTGTGGTGGCAGGAACCAGTCGTTATACAATACTTTGCTGAAAATAAGGCACCCGTTTGGTTTAATCAATTTTCAATTATTCGAGCTTGAAAAATGGACGAAGAGAAGAAGAAGAAGAAAAATAAGAAAAAGAAAAGCAAGCAAAATAAAACAACCGATGATGTGGCCTCCAGTAGAGAAACAGCTTCTTTGGAAAATAATCATGTCACACCCGTTGAGCAGAGTCATTGTCTGCCAATATCAGGGAGTGAAGATGATCAGACATCTGGAATGATGGAGAAAGATGTAAATCTGGACAGACATCAAAGCAATGCTCCAGAAGGCGTAAGTTTTTGTTTTGAACATTGTGATTCATTCATCTTGTCAGCTGGGAGAAATTATGTTTGCCTCAAATTGGGTGATCCTATTGTAATGTATTTTAGAGCAATTGCACTTAGTTGCTTATGTACATTTATCATCAATGCAACTGGACTTCTGACTGATTTTGGGAACTTGAAAATATAAATTTTTGTGCTGATTTTATGTACTCATTTCCTCAGTCAAGTTAGAAAATCTAGCATACAAAAACTCATTTCCATTGGAAGATCCTTACTGGATAAATTTTCTCAGGCTCTTAATAGACACGATTGTTTATAGTCTGTTTGCTGATAGAATTTGAACTCACACAGTTATCACCTGAAATGTATTTATTTAAGGTTAAGAAAAATCAGAAATGACTACATTGTCTTGAAATCCTGACTTTACCTCATCTCTTTATTTAATTAACAATAACAACCGGGAAATATTTCCACTTTAGAGCATACTATTAGTCTGTGTAGTTAAGTTGAAAACAAAATAAAATTATTTAATTCCACATGACTTTGAAACCAGATTGAACAAAAAAAAAACCTAAAAAAAGGGACAAATGAGTCTCGATACAGGCCGATACGCCCTATGTCCTACTGGCATATTGGCCTGTGTCGATATTTTGAACCTTGGTTCTTCATACACACAGGGATTGATAGCCCTAATTTTTAGTACTATATGCTCTGGCATTAATCCAGAATAGGTTGTATGCATTTATATCAAAGTATAAAAATGGACATAACTACTTATTTTCCCCCATTAAAATGTTTATATCTGTACTGCCTACCTAGTTGATCACATTTAAAGAGACCAGTAAAAAATGCTATACTATTATAAAGAAAATACTTATGAAGGAAACATTATACCTGCACGATCTAAATATTATGGGGGTTGACCTATGATGGAAACACTTATAAAGTCAACCTCTCTTTAAAGTTGACCTAAAGAGATGGAAAGTGCTCTCCAGATATATTATGCGTCAGTGCAGATGGCATATCCCTCTCTGTGTCTGCCATGGTTGATGAAATCTCTCCAGATCTATGATGAAAATTCCCCTAGCCTCTTTCTCCTTTCCTTATTCTTTCTATATACATGCTTGCAGAAGTATCCAGCTATTTGGTTTTAGATCCGGTGATAGAAGACTCAAACCCCTATTTTTAATTTTTACTTTTCCTATTCATTCACAGAAAGGCATTAAAACCCAAGTACTTCAAATGATTTATTTTTGTTTGTTGTACTTAGATGATTCATAGAAATTACATCAAAACATATAAGTATGAAAACAAGAAAGGAAATAAATCTTTTATGTTTTCCACCTTTGCATAGAACCAGATGGGTTTTCTTAGAACCAGATGATTCTTTAATTCTAAAGAAAAATTGGACAGTTTGAATGGTTTTATCTGGTCTTTATACAATTCAGTTCTATTAGTGGCCATTACCCAATGCTATTCCTGGTTATCCAGGACCTTTTCTGATAAGACAGTAGAAGATGCTTTATTGCTATAAAGGGAGTCATGACCCTTCCAAAATTTAGTATAACTAGGTGCAAAGAAAAGCAGCAACATTGCTGACTAACCTTCTTTAGTCTACACCCTGCCCAAGTATTCCCCACACAAGATTTTCCCATGCGACTCCTGATTTAGCTAAGCAGCCAGCTAGGTTATTGATTGATCTAGGTGTCTACCTGAATAATGCATTCAAGGTGGTGGCCAGAGCTCTAGCTTGTCTCACTAGAAACTAAGTTTCCAAGGTACTTCTTCCCCTGCCTTAACCAGTTTATTAGAGCCGGTTCTCTAACTTGAAATCCAGTGTTTTAAAAGTACAAGGCGCAAAAAAGGTGCAGGGGTCAATTTGCGCCCGAGGCGCAAGGCGAGGTGCGCACCTTTTTGAAGCAAGGCGAAAAAAAGAAAAAATGCTAAAAAATAAAAAAAGTCGGAAAAATAAAAAAATGACAAAAAATAAAAATATTAAACATAATATTAATAAAAAAATATAATAAATTTTAAAACAAATGTTTTAAAAAACCTATTATCTAAAATTAAAATACATAAACATAACATGTAAAGCATATTCAAATGTGAATTTAAAAATAAAATCAAACATATAAAACATTTTCAAGCATGTAAAACCCACAATCTCTTTTTTTCTTCAATTGCATCACTTAAAGTAGCTAATGTGATGTAAAACATATTACATTCCTGATTCTACGAGCTGCGTTTGTGCCATGCCCCTCAAGGCAAGCCCAAACAAGTCCATGTTAGGGTCCTAAATTCTTAGTTCTCACACAAAAAATAATGATTTTATAATTTCAATTCCTTTTTAAGAAGATAATTTAATAGGATAGGTGAATGAACAACATTACCAAATAGTAGGATGGATGGAATCTGGGAATGAGGAGGGGTTTGAGAAATTTAGAAATTGTTGAGTTTATTACTCTTCTAGAAGAAATAAAAGAGGTTTCTTTATACTCTTATGGGGCAGATTAGAGGGTCTAGATCCCAAATTTTAATGGCAGTTTTTTGTGTGCATCCTTTTTAATACTCTTTACCAATCAACTGTGACAAACTCTTTCTCTATCAGAGCCTTTGTTGTACAGGCTCCTCCAGAGGTGAAGGTCTTCCGTTGTGAAGTAGCCAATTTGTCCATTAACACTTGTGAGAGACTCCAGAAGAAACTAAAAGCTAGCTGTCTCTCCTCTCATGTGTGATTTCTTTGTTTGAGGAGTGGAGAAAACACCAGCCATCTTCTCTTAATTTGTCTAGTTACTACTGAAGTATGGAAGTATTTTTTCCTTCTCTTTGGGAGTAGTTTAGTTGTTCCATCCAATCTCATGGACCTTTTTGCTACAAGCATAATTTCTTGTCATATAAGTAGGCAAAGAATATTATGACAATGCACAAGGGCAATTGTTTTATGGGGCTTGTTGGGGGAGAGGAATGCAAGAATCTTCGATGATAAAACATTTAGTATTAGTTTGTTGACAGATCTCATGATGGTAAGAATAGCACATTGGGCCTTGGTGATGATGATAGGGATTACCATGAATGATCTCCTTAGAGGATGGTGAATTGTGAATGGTTGTGAAGCTAGATTTCAACAAAGAAATGTGGAACGGAGAGCTCCTGATTGGGGAAGATTGAAATCCAATTTTGATGGGTGCTTCCTTGGCAAATCCGGAGCATCAGGAATTGGAGGAGCAGTAAGAGATCATAACAGCAATATACTTCTTAGCTTCTTAGGCCTAGCTTTAATCCAGGGTCTAAAGCTGATAGCAAGGAAGGGGTGGACTGCTATGGTGGTGGATGTGGACTGCCAAACAATAATCTCTTGGAGGGAGGCAAGGAAATTCCCCTAGTGATTCAGGCACAAGCTTTAGGCAGCAATTTGAATAACTGATTCAAATGGGTGCCTAGGACTTTGAATGTGTTGGATGATACCTTAGCAAAAGCAGGGGCCCTAAGGGAAAGCCTTGTTTGGGGATTGCCTATTCTGGGAATGAACTTGTAATTTCTCTTCAAGTTTGCTTTTGTAGCCAAAGGTGGCTTTTTATATTTGGCTTGCCATTCAGGATTCTAGGTAGTGAGGAGAGTTTGCTACTTTGCTTGGTGCTAATACAATCAATTCTATTATTTATCAAAATAAGAAAAAATAAGGCTTCCCTATGGTTCGCAATTTCTTCATATATTCACTAATATTTCCCACAAAGCTTCCATTTAGGGGGGGGGGTACCGGATTATCTACTAAGGAACTCTCAATTACATATTGGCAATAATTTTACCAAAATATTACATATGCTAATGTTTTAGGGAAGTATCACAAATAACTGAATATTTACATTATAAACTTACAGGGTTTTGATAAAAATGAGAGATTTTACGGCCAAGACTGTATTTGTGTTGACGTTGATCTCATATGTCACTCTATTCCTATATTTATTTGTTATACTTGTCATACTCATCATATTTTTTTTTGGAAAAGGTAAAGCAATATTTATTGATAAGGAATTACACACAGGAGGCTGAGATCAGTCCCGGAACAGGCTGACTGATCAAATCAGCAAATACACTATCCATCAAGAGCTAGAAAAAAATACATCTGACACATTACAGTTTCTAAAATCTGCAGCCACAGACAACCAAGATATCAGCTTGCCCACTGACTTCTGAATTAACCCTTCCGGACTTAGAAACTTGTTACTGAAAATCCTTCTATTCCTCTTGGTCCAGATGGACCAAATTACAGCAATTGGAACCATCTTCCAGACAGTCTTCTTTTTCTTGCTCAAACCCATAAGCTGCCAGCAACACAACAGCTCTTTTACCGACCTCGGCATCACCTAACAAACCTTCATTTTGTTAATAGAAGAATTGTAAATCATTTTAAAATTTTATACAAACTTTCCCATTTTTGAAGGATTGAAATTTCCCTTGAAACTGAAATTACATACCTTAATCTTGGTTTATTTACCACATTTAAAAACCATGTCTTGAGAGCAAATGGAGCCTATAGAATCAAATTAAAGATAAGAACACATGTAAAAACTTATTGTAGTCATTATGCAACTTGAAATTAACTGAGTGATGTGGTTTACAGGTTAGATTGGAAGAGAAAGTCAGGCAATTACAAATCGAAAAGGATTTCTTTATCCAGAGAGAGGTAAAATTCTAGATTTCGTACAAAATAAGGTAGACTTGTATTTTCAGCTGAGGATCCAAATAAAAAGGTAGGGTTTTCATCTTCTTCATCTTCTTTTTTAAAGTTGGATATCTGGATTGTCTACAGGTTGTTCTAGAGAATAAGATAATGTGCTTACAGAGTGAAAAGGATTCTTGGCTCCAAAAGGAGGTAATTGCTGTCATTTTTAAGTTGCATTTTGCTTTTATCTGGATCATGGTTTGTGTTTGCATTGGACTAGTTACCGTGCATGTTTTAAGTAGAAGATCAAGACTGTAATCAGTCTTGAATCCTAATAGGTTTTAGGTTTGCAAAACAGAAGAAAAGTGAGAGAAAGGAGAGAGAATAGAAGAGAAACAAGAGAACACAAGTTGTTGAAAGGAGGGACAGATTCTA